AAAAAAAACAGGAAAAGAGAGAAAGGGGTGGGGAGATAGCAAGGAAAGGAAAGAAGGAAGGAAAAGGAGAAAAGGAATATAAGAGGGCAGGAAAGAAGGAAAGAAAAAAGAGAAAGAAAGACAGAAAGAAAGAAAGGAAAAGAAAAAAGGGAAGGGAAGGAGGAAGGAAAAAGAAGGAGAAAAGGAATATAAGAAATGGAAGGAAGGAAGGAAGGAAGGAAAAAAGGGGAGGGAGAAAGGAGAGAAAGACAAGACAGAAAGAGAGAAAGAGAGAAAGGAAGGAAGGAAGGAAAGAAGGAAGGAAGGAAGGAAGGAAGGAAGGAAGGAAGGAAGGAAGGAAGGAAGGAAGGAAAAAGGGGAGGGAGGGAGGAGAGAAAGACAAGACAAAGAGAAAAAGAGAGGAAGGAAGGAAGGAAGGAAAAAGGGGAGGGAGGAAGGAGAGAAAAACAAGACAGAAAGAGAAAAAGAGAGGAAGGAAGGAAGGAAGGAACGAACGAACGAACGAACTTTTGACCTCTCCCACTCTGAGCATAATCCAAAGTCAAATATTTAGGTTCAACTGAAGAGTTGAGTTGGACTTTGGATAGATCAGTGGCCCCATTGTTGGTAGATCAATAATCAGGAACGTTGGGAATGGCTGGTGAAGATGACAGAACTAGCAGAGGTGGCCAAATTGTCTTGTTTGGTTAGAGGAAATGTATTTCTTGGTCACTGGAAATCCCGTATGGAATCTGGGATATGCTTAATCAGGATGGAGTCAAGAAAAAATAATTTGCTAAAGGCCAAGGATGCCTTCTTTCTAATTATGGTTTCGTGTTTAAAATGCTTCGTTTATTTGCACTCTGCCCTGAAGAAGAAATGCAATATATTTAATAATCAGAAGTGCAGGGTATTTAATAATATTTGTGCGTTATTTTAGCTCTGAAATGGATAGCCACGCTTAATTTGGGATATGGTGGAGCCCATGCCAGTTACTACCACCGAGCTAATGACCAGGCGAGTTGAACCTTCATTCCTTCTCCTCCTCCTTCTCCACTTTTCTCCTCCTCCTTCTTTTCTTCTTTCCTTTCCTTCCTCCTTTTCCTCCATCACTTTATTCTGCTCTTTATTCTTTATTCTTTTCTTCTTCTGCCCTTTCTCCTAATTTTCATCTTCCTCCTTCTCTTCTTTTTCCTTCTAATGCTCATCTCTTTTTTATTTTCATTTTTTCCTTCTCCTTCTCATCTTCATTTTTTTTCTTCTCTTCTTTTCCCTTCTCCTTCTAATCTTCATCTCTTTTCTTCTCCCCTTTCTCCTTTTCCTTCTCCTTCTCCTAACCTTCCTCCTCCTCCTCCTTTCCTGAGCCCCAAACCTTCGAGTTTGGCTTCCATCTTTGCCCCCTCTCCTTGGCAGATCCAGGTTGGCGTGGAATTTGAAGCCAACACTCGGCTGCAGGAGACAAGCTTCGCTTACGGGTATCAACTCACCCTGCCCGAAGCCAATATGATCTTCAAGGGTGAGTGGAATTAAACCATCGACAGGTTCTACCCTCTGCCAACGATCCCTCTGCCATCAAAGGGAGAAGTGAATTTTCCATTTTGCTTGCCAAAAGTTTTCCTGCCTGAGGCGGGACTAGAACTCCCCGTCTCCTGGGGATTGGCCCAAAGTCAGCCAGTCGGCTTTACGCCTAAGGTGGGACTAGAACTCACT